TGAAACGTCCTGTGAAATCTGTGCTTGCAAAGTCCGTTCTTGAAATCTGTTCTGCACAATCCTCTTGTTCGTTGACATTGTCAGGGTCTGGGACTTTTCCCGAACACGCGCTAAGCGCTGCCAATCACAACACACTGGGCCAGCTAACCAATCACAGCACACTGGGCCAGCTAACCAATCACAGCACATTTTGTATTTTGGAAGGAGGGGCTTCATCGAAAACAACACTTTCAACCAGACTGGGGAGAGAGGAGCTGTAATAATGTAAAATATGTGAAAAATAATGAATCAAGCATGAAAAACATATTGTAGTACACCCAAGACTTAGTAAAAGGGCATAATAGGACCCCTTTTAATAGATAAAATTGTTGGTGACAGAACATAAGAAACTTTTAGATGTTTGTTCAGCAGTGTAGCACAGTCTGAATATGTAAGACGTCATTTATTCTCTGTTCTCTGAGTTGTGCAGAATGTTTGACGTTCTGTTTGTGGTGCTGGGTGAGAGCGAAGATTAGATGTGATCAACAGATTGCCTTCCAAAAGAGACAGATTTACTAGAACAATTTCCTAAACTTCCTCTGTATGTCAGGTTACACCTACTTGCACACATTTGCACATATGCATGTACTGTAAATATTCAGGTTTGTCACAGTCAGTCCTCATTCTCAGGAATTGTCTTCCTCTCTGTCAACAAACTCATTGTTTTATTCCCCTTGAATGAGTTCTGTGATCAGATATTCAACATGGCCCTCATCTTGAGTGCACGATAAACGATCCTGCTATCAGGAAATTTGCCCTTTTCCATGAAGGGAAAGTAATCAGACTGGTTTTTGCCACGAAGAAGCTTGATCACTTCCTCCTCTGGAGCTCCGGGCCCTAAGAAAAGCCTCCAGTGGCCCACATGTATTGAGTTTCCACATGCTGCTCACTGGAACAACAAGCACTTTGACGTCAAACACTGCAAAGTTTTTGTGGCACTCCAAAAAAAAAAATTCCCAAGCTTTCATATCTACTGACATGGCAGCGATGGAAAAAGTTAACCCAAGTGTCACGGGATTTTTTTGTAAAAAAAGTGACCCTAAATAGCACGTCCCAAGCGTCTTCCCCATGTACTCTGATAACTCCTAGACCCCCATTCTCTTGTCTAGTTTTTAGTCATTCAAGCTAGTACTACTATTAACACTGTGTCAGAAAATATATTTCAGTAACTGTATATTTACCAAACTAGATTTTTAGAGTGGCAAAGCTGTTCCGTCACACTTTAAAAAGAAATTCGGGGGACCTTTTACCACAACTTAAATAAATGAATGGTTGCAACTTAAAAATTCCAATTAGTGATTGAATTAAACCTTTTAAGTTGCAAACATTAGTTCTGGTGACACAATAATTAAAACAATATTTTAGTAACTTTTTCTTTGTCTAGTAACTAAAATGGTCTTGATAACCCTGAAAATTGGGCAGTGGATTTCTAGTTCCCAGGATGCTTTACATAAGGAGCATTAAGGCCCGTTCACACCAAGGACGATAACTATAAAGAGAAGATAAAGATTTAAATTGTTCTAAATATAAAGGAATAGCAGAGTCCACACCACAACTACGATAACGGCACAGTGAAACAATATTTTTTGAATCACTTTCAGAACTATTTTGTCCAGCTAATGAATGATAAACATGAGAGCCAATCAGAATACATCCTGCTTAAAGTGCTTGAGCATTTAAAGCGACAGGCGACAAAACTACAGCACGCGCTTATGATAAACAGAACGATATTGCGCAGGTGTGGACGCTAATATAGTTATCGGTTATCTTTATAGTTATCGCTTTTGGTGTGAACGGGCCTTAAATGTTAAAATGAGTGGTATTTCATGTGAAATGGAAATACCTGTTAGTGTTTAATTCTTTTATGTTTGACATTTTTAAAAGTTTCTGTTATGTTGAAGTTTTTGTGGTTAGATAAGATTAATTGGTTCCAGGGCCACCTCTCAATTATGTTGAAATTAGTTGGAACACGTAGGCCGTTATGCTTTTTGAATAATTAACTTACGCCACAAATTATGTTCCTCTAATTCAGTGTAGTTTGTTGGTTGAATATAATGTCATTAAAAGTTGTTGTAAGTCAAAAAGATTGATGCAAACTGTTGCATTTGTTGTTGTTGAGCCAAAGCATTTGTTTTTAGAGCGCGCGGCCCTAATGTGTTTATAACGCAATTTAAACGTGATGGGTTTGTTTCAATCGAATTAAATTTCTAGGGTGGCATCCATGATATCCTAAGATGCTTTGGAACAACTTTAAATCCAGTCAGTCAAAAAAACACAGCGTTCGCTACACAAAGGTCAGCATGCTGAAGCTGATCATCGACAATACTGGTAAACTTTAGCATAAATGTTACTAAGTGAAACCAGTCTTGCTGAGCAGGATGCACTTTGTTTGTTTCTAGGTGGTGGCTGCTGTCACGTCTGCATGATCTCTACTCTGATATGTGGTGAATGAGTACATTGTTTCATTCCGTTTTTGGTGTTTTTTATATCAGCGTGATCAGGGTAAATAGCTAACAGCTAATTATTCCACCCGTCTTCATGTATGTGTTTAATAAATGCAATAACATGAAATGAAATGAAGCATTCAATATTTTTTTATAATAATCTTGGATTTCTGTTGGCTTTAAGGGCATACTTTTGATACATTTGTTCTAAGGACTTTTTACATCACTGCTAGTCTTCAATTAACACATACATTAACAAAAATCCAAATTTATATCCAAAGTTACATATTAACTTATAGCTGACAGAGTCTGATGACGCAACCACAAATCTCACCAAACTAGGTGTACTTACATTTAAAAATACCTGCATAAAGTTACAGTTGTAAATAATTTCTGAATTAAAATTACTCTGTTGACCCTTCCCTTACACCTTAACCCACCCTTAAACCTACCCATATACCACCAAACCTGAGCCTTAACTGACCCGTATCCCACCTCCATAGCAGCAAAAGTGTTTCACAATACAACATGAACACAATAAGTGCATTGTTGTTACGTGGATGCTTTGTTGTGGTTTTGTTCCTGTACCCATTGCCCTTGTTCCCTGTCCCTGCTTTTCATTTGTTGTCATTAGTTGATTGATGAGTCCCCCCATTATTTGGTGTATTTTAACCCTCCTCAGGTTGCAGTTCAGTGTATTACCTTCTTTATTTTTGATTTGTTAATAAAATGGCTGGAATTATATCCATCTCCTTCCTTCATCACCATCCTCTGACAATTGTACTTTTTTATGTAAGTTAGACACCTAATATAAAGTGTGAACACTATTTTTTTTTGTAGCTATATGGTTTATATTATGTGCAGGAATGTTACAGTGACAAATTTTCCCGTTTGGTTCAGTACAATTCTAGGCCGTCTGCCCCTATAGATAGACATGAAGCATGCAAAAGAAATTACATCACTTACAGACCAAAACATTTTCATTTCTTTCTTTGTTTAATCTCTCTTTTTTGACAAATAAGAAATGTGCAACACAACTTTAACAGAGGATTAATACTAAAAACGATAATATAATAATAATAAATATAATAATAATGGAGATAACAGTGATTCCACCAGTGGAATCACAGTTGTTCCACAGTGTGCTTGTTCATCACCCGCTTCACAATGACAAACATGAGTAGAAAAGACAAGTTTTAGCTTCATACTGTAAGCGTAATTTCAATTTGGGCAAATTACGTCAGTTGAACTGTGGCAAAATGTAGTCATGCTTCCGTGAATCAAATAATAATAATGCATTATCAAAAAAGGTAAGCAGAAGCAAATAGTATACATCTCGTAAGGAAAAAAATATACTTGTTGATTTAAAGGCTAATCTCAGCCAGAATGACGTGCGTTCACCACATCCGTTCCTGAGCAGTAAGCACATTCAGGAGGAACCACATTGTTTGACATCAGTGATTGTGTAATTGAGGTTTATTGTTGACTGTGTTCCGTGAATATTAACAGCTTGGATTCTAAGAAATGAAACATATAAGAGTTGACATTTTTAATGTTGAATCTTAAGTCTCTTTTGTTTCTTGACATAAAAGTATCTTAGTGACATTTACAGACACAAAGAGGTCATTTTTAAATATATAGTACATTAAACACAGTCATAAATCGGTTTAATGTCGCTATTATGCGATGTTTGTTTCCCAAATTAAAGTGGTTTTAAAGGAATGATCTGGGTTCGATACTAGTGCAGCTCGATCAACAGCATCTGTGGGATGATGTCAGTTACCAAAGAAAAAATCATTTTTGACCATAAATTAAATTCAGACTATCCAACAGTTAAAAAAAAAGCAAAATCAATAAGTAGTTCCTTATTGTACACTATGTACCAATGGCTCTTACAATGGAAATACAACACAAGAAAGAAAAAAAAAAAACATATTATATATATATTCTGTGGTAATCAACATAATTGCCATAAATACAATCAAAAGAGCTTAATTTATATCCAGCCCAGGACATTCCTTAAGAGTAACCACTAAAATGCTGGACTCTTTGGATCCTTTTTTTTTTTTACTCACTGTAATACGACATAAAACATCACATTAGTTGTACCAGAGGAATCGCTTTATAAGAACGCCTTTTAAAAGAGAAACTGTGTGTTACAAAGTACAAAAATGTTGTATTAAATAAAGATAAAGTATGCTGGCACAAGAAATAGATTATTCTGTTGTCTAAAATTTAGGAAGACTGCATTCCCAATACAGGACTGGGAATTACATGCTTTTGCTTTCAGCATGACGACATTCCTCACTTTTGAAGTACAAAAAGTCTTTCTTTTTTTTTTTTTTTACAAAAAAGTCAATTTAATGTTGTGGTACAAACCCCTCTTATATGAGGGTCAGCATTTCTCCTTCACAGAAACCCACTCCAACATTCAGATCAGACTGTAGCGTCTGATTTAGAAAATCCAGCTTATGGCACTTTCGGGGTATGCCCGTCCGTCCACTTGCCAATGTCCAACTTGACTGGATTCTTGCAAATTCTGTGAAAACTATATTGTGTAGGATGTTCGCTCGCTCCCCATTATAGGCTCTGTAACAACAGCAGAGTCCCAAGACACAGTGGTCCTCAGTGGGATTCTCAGATAGCGGGAGAATAACCTTCCTCCACTTTACTCTGTCATCAAATACGGCCAACATGTAGTGAGGTGCTACGTCTCGGCAGATGAAGGAGAACGCGTCACAGTCTCAACACTGTCTGTCTCGAAGAGGTTCTCTGTATCCTGCTTGGCTCCTTCCTCGTCCTCCAACTCGAACTGAAACTTATCTCCACCGTCAGTTCCCGTTTCGAAAAAGGGAGGGGAGGGACTCTGTGGTATCATGCTGTGGTACCAGTTCCTGTTCTCTTCTAAAGTGTCCAAGATATCCTGCGCATCTGGATGCACCAGGTCCGCCCAAGTCTCCCATAGCGGGTGCACGATGTAGTCAATGAAACCAACCTAAAAGGAAAACAAACACATGATAAGTCCCTTCTAGAAATGACCAGACTTGACCAAAAGAAATACACTTAATTGTACTGAATGTCCACTTGTAGTGTACAGTATTTCAAATCTTCAAAGTATAATTTTTTTTAAAACAAATCTGCAGATAATATAATAATGAAATAAAAGGCCATTAAGTGTACTTAAAGAGTTTCTTAACACACTTAAGTCCACTTTTTAAAAGTCCACTTTGTAATTATGTCAAATTAAGTTTTACTTTAAAGTGCTTTTTAAATAGCTTAATAATCTGTTGTCATGTAAAGTACACTTATTTTGATCTGTTGACTAACACACATAAACATTTAACAACATAAAGCACATGCAAAGTGCTTGGCTATAAAACTATGAAACTATCACAACTATGAAAGCACACAGGCCTATAAAAATGTAAGCCTACTTAAGTGGGTCAAAAAAGCACTAATTAAACTTAATATACATTTAATTGTAAATAACATTCAGTTAAATGTTTGAAAAACATTCCATTCAGTTCACACTTAAGTATATTATTTCCTTAATAAGTGCTCTTTTTAAAAGTATGCTAAAGATGGATGCCCACCTGAGACTTCTCCACTGAAGCGGTGTGTTTGTCACACATCGGGCTGATCTCCATGCCTCGCTCTCTCTCTCGGTCACCCTGGTGGAAAAACTCTTCCATAATGCGGTCCGTCCATTGCCGGTACAGATCCAATGGCTTGGTGGGATTGCTGAGATCGGCACAGTGAACCATATTTCTTAAGACCTGTTGACATAAAGAGACATGACGTTGAATGATATCAAGGAAGGAGTGAAGAACTGAATGTTGTTGTTGAGGACGCATAAGCCAAGACTCACCTGTATCCTGTCCGTATAGTTGTCGAGCAACAACACTCCTGAACTCGTCACCTTCTTGGTCTCGACCATTGTCTTCAAGTCAGCCAGTAAGCTCATGTGCTTGGACATGTCTGTCGCTAGTACCTATTGAGAGAAATGGAGACGTAGTTAGTTGGGAGACTCACTATTGTTCGACGCATTTTTGCAGGCCCAGTCATTTCAATAGGAATCTGTGCGAGTGAGAGTTTTGTGTAAGGGTGAAAAACTTCAATTAACAGTTTTACTTTAAAGTACATTTTAAATTATTAGGCCTACACTGTACAACATGTTTTTACATTGCTTTAACTCATCAAAATAAGTCAAGCAATTTTCAACTTTTTGAAGTTATACAAGATTCAACTCATTTTTTTTTAAGTCAGTTTAATGTAATTGAAGTTGAAATGACTTAAACATCAAAGTTGATTGTACTTAAAAATGTAAGGCAGCAACTTTTTTTTACTGTGTATGTTTGGTGGGTAACACTTTACAACAAGGTCCTACTAGTTAACATTAGCTAATGCTCTCAGCTCTCTTTCAAGTTCAAATACTTGCATTTAATTTGATAAATGTAATTTTTACATTTTTACCTACCACGTCAATGACCATTTTCCTGAGAGACTGTCGCTGTTTCTTGGAGAGGTTTTGGAAGATATCACAGTTTTCCCCTTGCAAGAGCTTGAAACCAACCGCTAGGTGATGGTTCTCGAGAACAGACTCATCATTGTACATGAGCGCCAGCTCGGAGTCTGCAGTAAAGAGAGGCATGGTCATAACATAACAGTCATAACATTGAGGCTTTGCTCTTCCATATGGTTTGAGTTGCAATAACTGCAGCAGTTTCGACTCATAAGCATAGTCTTCAAAATGTAGAGGGAGGAGTAGGTAAAACACACTCACTGGTATTAATTAGGAACTGGTTTGAAACCCCTGGGTGGTCCACGTCATGGATGGCTGCTGCAAAGATAGCGGCCAGGATCTCCAGGTCTGTAAAGACTGCCTGTGAAAAATAACGGGCGAAAGGACTGTGTTACATGACGTGGATCAACTTTCCTCGATGCATTGAACTTGGTCAAGTACTTGTGTGTTGCACACAGTTCAAGCATCATAAAACAACTCTGTAAGTTGAAACAGATTCAGTTTTGACTTTGTTTGCCAATGACCTTTAATAAAACAAAATATTTTGTAGATAAAAGACAGCTTTGTCTTTTCAAGTTTTATTTTTGCACTGAGAGAAGACAAAGCGAAAACCAGCTGCAGACAAAACATGCAGGCTGTTTAGAGATTAGAGGGTTCACACGTAAAGAAGATTAAAGACGAATCAGTACAAAGAAATCAGAAACAGCTACGGCTGACTACATTTCGAGTTCCTCACCTCCAGTGCGGGCGTGGACAGCAGGATGTGTGTGGACTGGGCCACATCAGCCGCGTGGAGACTGTTGTGATAGGCCACGTCTGCGTGGTAGTGGTCTTCGAGGGTCATCATGTACGTCACAAAGGTGTCCACTGGGATCTTGAATGTCTTCATTAAATCTCTCTCCTACGTGAAAAGAAACAGGATTTAGTTACATTTCATTTTTCAAAAACACATCTTTTTTAAAGATGAGCTTTTTTTATGTACTAACCTGAAGAATGCCATACATGATGCAGGTCAGAGGCCGGTGGTGAGAGTGCTCTGAAACATTGAAGATGTTCAGACCCCACTTGTTGATGTTCTCCAGGTCCTACATAAGACAAGAAAAGATCCGTCCAATTACGGTACAAACTCGACGAAATTGCACGATTTCCATACAACAGATGGTCTGTAGTGTAGAACTATACCTTAGAGAGCAAGTCCTCCAAATCTGTTTTTACGCCGAACCTGGCCGTACTGCTGCTGCTGGGTAGACCAGAGCCATGCGTCACCTTCCTCACCCCGCTGATCTGATTCATGAGCTGCTGCTGCCTCCTCTTCCTCTCCCGCGATTTCGAAGTGGGCGAAGGGATCTCCAGCTCGTTCTGTTTATCTACAGGGGGAGAGGTTTCGGCCGGTTACTCATGAGATTGTTCATTTCAGCACTCGCACACTCAATCCACAACAGCAGCCAGGACTTTTCAGACTCATTGAGTGAGTTCAAGTCGCCCAAAAAAGTTAGATATTAGTACAAGCCACCTACAAGTTCAACAGTTGATGCAACAGCTAAGTGTTCCTGGCTGAAAATATACATTTAGAACAGAATGATGGCCCAGGTTGGTTTATGCTGGGACTGAAAAGCTGGATCAGCAAAGCCATGGTCTTATTGGAGAAGCTGGCAGCCAAAGTCTTAGTGGTTACATAAGTGTATTATTATATTGGTCAAATCAAAAATAACGGTTTACGGATTAAACCTGCTTTGTTCAGTTTGGCAGTAAATAAAACTCCCATAGAAAAAAACAAAAAACAGTTTTGTTTAGGTTTGAAACAAGCCAAAAAACGAATACATTTTCTGATTAAAAAGTATTTTTTGAAGTTGGTCCAAAGTATATTTATATTTTTTCAGTGTATGCGGGCGCCCATCCAATTTATAGTACTTGTGTCCAATGTCAATTCCTACTGAGGTCTTTTAAGAAAAACAAAGTGTATACTTAAAACATGCATTGACATGCGCACTTTTTTTTCTCTCTCGTTCTAAACACCTCTTGTTTGTCAGTCAGGAGAGCTTGAGCTGTGTGTGAGCTCTCAGTAACACTGCATATTAAGAGTGTTTGTCTAGAAAATCTCCCCGTTGATGAGTAAGTGCGTAGGCTGTAGGGCTCTGAACGGCAGGGTTAGGGGAGTACAGTGACCCCGTGGCATCTAACTACAGTTTCAGCTCTCCTTTCTCTCGCACACACTCTCTGCGTAGATGCCAGACCAGATCAGACTGGAAAAACCTCTCTCTAGCTATCAGTGTTTTCATGGAGAAGTGTTATGCACAGAATCTTTTATCTCTGTCACCATCTGAGATATGGCTTTCACCATATTTCTCATGATGTTTTGGTTTCTCAGTTTAGCCCACATGTCTGAAACTCTGCAGTAAAAACACTGTATGAATCTTTCTCCTCTCCATATATCTGTCGCAATGCTATTGCCTATTATAAGACGATGAAAAGAAAGCTCAGACTCACCTAAGAATGTGTTGGAGATGAACTCGGACACCTGGTTTCCAGAGCGACTCATCTCAGACAGATGTGTCAGTTCCCGATTCAACATCCTTTTGAACTAAAACAAACAAGACAAGTCTTGTTAAACTCATACAGTATAAATATTTCTGGACTTCTCGATTTCCAGTCCAAGCAATGGAAGAAACTCAAGCAACCTCCATATTAAACAACCAGTACATTCCAAACAAAGTGCGCCGGTTAATAACCCACAAACACACCTTAATGTAACCCCAGGACACTGAGAGCAGGTAGTTGACTTCAGGCATGATGGAGTCCTCAGTTCGTGCCTAAACCCTGAACTCCTCTCTACATTTGAGTTCTACACAAACTCTTCTCAGCTCAAACAAAAGCCCAGCGCTGACTCTCCTAAACTCATCCCTCTGTATTCTCTTTCACATTCCAGCCGGGTTCCCAAAAACAGCAACAATAAGGAGAAATCCAGACAGAGTTCCATGATATCTGCTGTATCTGCCATATAGTCTTGTTTCTCTCTCTGTTATTTTCCGTCTCCCTTTCACCCTCCTCTCTCTCTCTCTCTCTCTCTCTCTCTCTCTCTCTCTCTCTCTCTCTCTCTCTCTCTCTCTCTCTCTCTCTCTCTCTCTCTCTCTCTCTCTCTCTCTCTCTCTCTCTCTCTCTCTCTCTCTCTCTCTCTCTCTCCTGTCTTTACACTCCACATCCTTTGCCGCAGCAAAGACGGATACATGCACACAAACACACAAAACCCACAATGCTCTGCTTTTAACCTGCAAGACTAACAATGAGGTTTTTCAATTTGTATATGCACATTTTCTTTATGCAATACACATGCATGGTACAAAATAGCTTTACAGTTATTTGGTCTGTAGTAATAATCATATCAGAGAAAATTCTCACATAATCAGAGCCGAGTGTTTGCATGAAAAAACTCCAGCCAGCCAGAAGTAGTATGTACTCAAGATTATTAATCAGTCCCGCACATCCTCCACATTTAATACCAAATATGACCCTTCTGACACATCAGCTGTATTCCCGCAATATATTGTTCTGGGAAGTTTTGAACAGGGTTTTGCAACAGGCTATTTTTCTGAAACTCAAACTTTATAGCATGTGATGTTAGCCACGGCGAGGTCACGGGGCAACTCCGAGGGAATGCAAAATTGCTAAAATATATATCTTGCAAGTTGCTTCGGATGAAAGCACCTGTTAAATGCATAAATGTAATGAAAGTACACTTTTACTATAGAAGTGTTATTATAGAAGAAGTAGACTGTCGAACCGAGGTCAACAAGTAAAAAAAGAAAAAGAAATGTAATTCTTTACATATAAATACAAATTATGATTATTATTTATAAATAATACTTCAAATGTATTCAAATGTTTCTTTTTTTAACATTTAATATGTTTCGTAAGGATATAGTTTTAAAAAATGTTTTAATTTAATCACATTTTAAAATAATTTATCAGTTTAAATTCCTTATTTAAATTGAACTTTATAATTAACAGTGGAGTTTTAAAACGAAACGTAATGCAAAACAAAATTAAGAGAGTCGAACTAAGTTACTACACTATTCCCCGTTTTCACAGTTGGCAATTCATTTATTTTTTTATTCATTTATTTCAAGTTTTGCACACATCTAAACATATTTAAACTTCCAAAAATGAAAGGCAATTCTGAGCTCATATGTTCTCATTTCTTATAACAACATATCTTATGCAAAAGAGGACAACCAAACTCCGATAACTGAGACGGATGAATCAGGATTAAACCGCAGAGCACAATTCCACAAAACAAACAAAAACTTTGCACTCAAACAAAATCTCACCTCTCTCCAGCTTTTTAGCACACCAAATTTGATCTTTTTCTCCGAGTAGCACAGTCCCATTGTTGCAGCGAAGGTGTTTCGTGCAGTACTGGTGAGCATGAGCAAGGCAGTGCCTTTGAGCTCACTCTGACGGCTGTCAGGAAATGCCTTAGACAAAGTGCTAACTGATTCACCTCGCTGTAGACGACGAGCCCTCCTCCCTCAGGTACAGGCTACTCTTGCTCTGACTGCACACATGGGTGGAACTGACTCAGTTACTACTCACAGAACTTCAAAGGCGTGACAAGAAGACTCAGTCTTTTGTCGTTCATATTTAATGACGTGAATTGAAGACTTTCACAACGTAGCTGGATCTCATTATGTGTCGCCTTTCCACTTTCAACAATAAACTAACAATAACATTACTTTGAAATAAACAATATAATAAATGACTAGAACTTATTAAAGGGACAGTTCACCCAAAAATGAAAATTAGCCCATGATTTACTCACCCTGAAGCCATCCTAGGTGTATATGACATTCTTCCTTCAGACGAATAATATCGGAGTTATATTAAAAACTGTCCTGGCTCTTCCAAGCCTGATAATGGGAGTGAATGGGTGTCTGTCTTTGGAAGTCCATCAAAGCGCATCTATTCATGATTAAAGTTCTCGAAACGTTTTCCGTCAAGTTCAAGTGTTACTCTTTTGCCGCAAGTCGATGCGTACAGCCGTCTGACGGGAGGTCTAGTATTTTAAGAGCTATAGTATTTTAGTCGATAAAGTTTTAAATATTTTTCTTACACAAACGCATCGCTTCACTTCAGAAGGCCTCTCAGTGTGGAGCACTTTAATAGATGCACTTTAATGGACTTCCAAAGACATCCAGCCATTCACTGCCATTATCAAGCTTTTTAATATAACTCTGATTGTATTCTTCTGAAAGAAGAATGTCATATACACCTAGGATGACTTGAGGGTGAGTAAATCATGGGTTAGTTTTAATTTTTGGGTGAACTATCCCTTTAAGAAGACTAGGTAACACTATTGTTTTGTATGTGTCCTTGTTACACGTTACATGTATTTATATAGCAATAACTATAAATTAGGCATAATTACATGCAACTAAACCAAACCCTAATCCTAAACCTAACCCTATAGTATGTACATGTAGTTAATTACTATTAATCGGTACTTAAATGTATAATTACACTATAAAGGGGACACATTAAAATAAAGTGTAACCTATTTCTGCAGTCTGTGTAGTAACTCATTGTATGCAATTAAGCCAAAATATATTAACTTTAAAATATATTTCACTATATATAACATATACGATGTAAAGATGTAGCAAATATAAAAAAAAAAGTTATAATATAATGAAATAGAATTAAATTCTGTAAAGTATTTTATCTGTATATTATGAAATTTAAACCATGAACCAAATCATTTTATATCTTATTTAACTCAGCCTAGGGATGTTTAAATATTACAAAAAAAGTAACAATATATTTAAATGTTAAATATTAAATAATATTTACAATTTTTAATATTTAAAATTTTTATTTTTAGGAACACAATACATTTATAAGCACATGTTCTCTCTGCGTTTTCATTATCATAATATGTCTGAACAGTTTAATGTTGAGTTTTAAATTTGTATCATTTTCATTATTTTCAATACTGATTCTCATTAGATTCTTTTGACGTATTGGAAATTTTCTTCCAGGATATTTTCATTTATATATATATATATATATATATATATATATATATATATATATATATATTTATATATATATATATATATATATATGGATATATATATATATTTATATATATATATATATATATATATGGATATATGTATTTATCACATATATATATGTGATAAAATGCAGTATAATACAGTCTGGAATGCTTCAATGTCAGTGAGGTAATGTCCTCTATAACTCTATGCTCTCTATCTAGATCTGATTAGGTATCAGGGTAAACAAAGCAATGAGGTCACAAGTGAAAAAGAGGCCAATGCCAGTGGCAGTGCTCAAATAATGCCCGCATGAAAAAAGTTTGGTTTTTCACTCTAATTAATGAGTGTTTCAACAGTTTCCTTTCAACACAGATTCCAGTAAATCCACTGAATCCATAACCACCCACACTTACAGAGTTGAATTCATGTGTTTAAAATAAAATAATAATAGCCGACTGGGCCAAATACCTTTCACCAAGACAACAAACTGGATATAAACAATTATTACACATTATTTTAGTGTTTCTTATGAAATTCTTTGGGTAATAATCAGGGAATCAATCAAGTTCTTATTGCATGCTTTCCAACTGACAGTGTAAATGTTTTGCGACATCTCTAGATCCCACGTCAACAACTCATCATCAATAACGTTCCCAGTATTAACCTCACAGACATGACCAGACAGTTCATGAACAACCGCATACTCTATCCATGTATCAGCACAAAAAAAGAGCTGTGACTAACCAATACTGGTGCACTATGGAAATAAGATGACTAAACTTTTCAGACTGTCTAAGACTGCATGAAAGACCATCATTAAAGATACTTCAGTAGGGTTTGCAGAATACCACAAGAGGGTATCAAATCCTCCTTATTCCATCTCATTTATACCAACAAAACGTTGACTTAGGCTTTGAAATAACAGACAAGGCATCAAAATTAACACAAAGAAAGTTAGCATTCATTCAAACTTGCATCGACTCAAGCATGCAAACATACAGAAAGCAGCTTTGGAGTTGTAAAGAGCAAGTGCCATCTCACCTTGTTGGAGGCCATGTCACTGACGGAGCGGTACGTCTGGATGGTCTCCAGCTGGTCCAGGCACCAGTCTAGCTCCTCCATGGTCTCCACAGCCAGCTTCTGGTAGGACTCATCTGGTAAGAGACACACGGATATGTATTCAGGATCCGGCCTCTGAAAAGGTGGTCCGCCGCAGTGATCTTTCATGGTGGGCCGAGCGCTGCTGATGTAGTCATTCTGTTCGGATAGCAGCTGGATTACTAGCTCACTGCATAGTCCTTTCTATTGTGTCTCCAAACTCACCTACTGTGCAGTCTGTCAGCTAGTCAGTCTCTTTCTCCTCACATCGCCTTGTGCTGATGTGTCAATGAGCCTCAGACCCGGGGGAGCTTAGTGGGAGGGACTCTAAAACTCATTCCCTATTTCTCTCCTCTTCTGTTGACTGGAAATGCATTTCATTGAAATCAAAATGAGGAGAGAATAGTGAAAATGATTAATGCTCAATTATCTTGTTGGTATATTATCTTGATGGATAAATCTGATTTAAAAAAAGGGTCATATTTCAACCCAAAATAACATTTAGAGTAAATAAAATAATATTTTTAAGACCATAATGTATTTTTTTCATTTATATTAATGCAGATTAAGCACATTTTCCCTCCTCCAAGTGTTCATTATCATAATGAGTCTGAATGGTTTACTTTTGAGTTTTTATTTTTGTCATTATTGCTGATTCTCATGATTGCAATGAGTTTCCATTAAGTTAACTAACATTTCCGTTAAACCTAATACACAATACAGTGGTTCCTTTAAAATACTGGGGAAAACACCTATGAAAATTTTGATTTTTAGTGTGTAATGCAGTATTTTCTAACTTAAAAATATACTTCAATACAATTTATCATTTAATATATTCATTGTAAATTCATATGAATGTATTATATGCAATAATGAGAGTTAGAGTTTTGCATTATAGTACTAAGTGAGAATGTACTTAATTATAATGAAAATTATAAGAGTCAATAAGTAGGTTTCGTTTTCTTAAAGGGTTAGTTCACCCAAAAATATCCTGGCTCTTCCAAGCTTTATAATGGGAGTGAATAGTAACTGAGATTTTGAAGCCCAAAAAAAGTGCATCCATCCATCATAAAAGTAATCTATACGACTCCAGGGGGTTAATAAAGGCCTTCTGAAGCAAAGCGACACGTTTGTGTAAGAAAAATATCCATATTTGGCTGGCTTCCGGTAACGGGCGTACGCGAGTCTAGTTCCGGCAATAGAGTGGCCTTTATTAACCTTCTGGAGCCGTATGAATTACTTTTATGATGGATGTGCTTTTTTGGGCTTCAAAATCAAAATAGTTTTTATATATAACTCAGATTGTGTTTGGCTGAAAGAAGAAAGTCATATACACCTAGATGGCTTGAGGGTGAGTAAATTATGGGATCATTTTTATTTTCAACAAAATCATTCTGGGGGTTAAAATAAGTATAAAAAGTATATATTTTTGGGGGTCAAATGTAACATTTGATCTAATTCAACAAGTTAAAAATATATACTTTGGTATATACAAGACTACTGGAGAAAGAGTTGACAGGACAACAGTAAAAAGGCCTAAATCTGAGAAGAATGAATCACGCCCACTACAAATTCTGCAGAAAGGTCTGCAATGAAAGACTCCACCAGCCTTACAGCGAGCCTCTGATCTTTTATAGACACAAGCCTTTTCCAAGGTGGTATTGGGATTTAGCGAGAGATCAGGACTCGACGTGGAACCCCCACCACCTCCATTTGATTCCCCGATAGGGCTAACTAGAAGGAGGTATGAAATCAAAGCCGGGGCTGTGTTTGCAGGAGCAACCCGAGAGGCAAACTTTACTCCCCTCGCTGGCCAGCATCCAGTCAAAGCTCAACAGGAGCCAAGCAAAGTAAACCACTTCCCCGGAGGTTGAGACGCCGCTAAATCGTGGAGCGGATTTCCGTGCGACACTCAGGCTGGAGTCTCCCCTCAGGCTGCAAATTTTGCAGAAATTAACCATTTATTCCCCCACCTTGTTGCAGGATGACCTCGGAAATGTTGCACTGACAAGTTCATCTGGCTTCCAGTTCAAACTTTGCTCACAGATCTCTATTGCACACAAACCACCAGAAGTCTCAGGTCAGACAAATGCAAATGCATGATCAATACATAGCAAACATGATCCCGTTGAACATACAGACAAATATACTGACTTGCTGCTTCTTTGCCGGTGTTTTTTGTTTCCGGAGATTTCGTACTAATTCAGAAGATGCGTGAGAGTGGTGCAGGGATGACGTCAAAATCCGGAAGACTAATTCGCCACTGGTTCCCTCAAGATTTTCCAATGGTTTTTCAATTTATGAGTAAAATAAGGTCTGAGCATCAAATCATCCTATCAGAATGATTTCTGAAGAATCATGTGACACTTAAGACTGGAGTAATGATGCTGAAAATTCAGCTTTGCATCACAGGAATAAATTACATAAAGATAAAATTGTTTTAAATTGTAATTTTCCAATTTCCATTTTTTTTTTTCTGGGGTTTTTGAATTTTATCACAATGGTTTTATGACAACATGTCTAATGTTTATTATCTTGTGGCTATACAAAACCAGAAATGTAATGGACTTCCACTGTTAAAAAGAAACTGTGGCAATGCTGACAATGCAAATGTCCTTGCGTTGCATTATTGCACTCTGACACAGCCAGGAATGCAGTGGCATGTGAATCGAGATTACTAGAAGTTCCTGTGTTCATGTACACTGTAAAAAAAAAACTGTTAAATTTACAGGAAAACCCTGGCAGCTGTGGTTACCAGAGTTTTCCTGTTAAAAATACGGTAGCAACGTTTTAGGTTTTACAACTTTTAACCGTATATAATTTTACAGCGATAAACCGTATTTCATCATCTGATATTTCATTATCCTTTTGAAGTATTAACATCTGTTTTTTCCCATTGTAATACACTGACAGCCAACAATCACAGCAGTGATGAGAGTCAAATGGTCAATCAAAGCTCATCATAAGCAGCTCTTCCATAAGAGAGTTAATACTAATATACAGAAGCTGCACAGTGTCATTCACACAAACATTAAACACCATCATGGTAACATGTTGAAATTTAAAAAATGCAATAAGCATTAATTTAACAACATTAAATGTAACATAAAACCCTAATGTACATAACTGATTAGAAAAAAACTAAGAAAATTATGAAGAAACAGTTATTTAAAAACAAAATACATCAAATGTGAAGTGTCACGCAGGGAATTGTGGGAATGTCAATTTACATTTTTTCACTGTAAATTATACAATGACTTGTTCTTTTTTACTTCCAAAAACTGTAAATTTAACGGTATTTTACAGTAAAATTAAATTAAATGTACCATTATATATATCACAGTTATTTACCGTATATAGGAAGGAAACTTTCTGTTAACCAATTAACAGTTTTTCACTGTAGCATTTTTACAGTGTTTTACCGTTAAAATCACAATCATTTTTTACAGTGTACTTGAGCGTTGTTCAGGCCTCATATTACCTTTTTAAATCACAATAATATCTTAAGCCAAACCATTGTCATTTAAATCCAAACATTTAGCACGAAAAAAGGCCCGATTTAAACAAAACACTCAGCAAGTCAGGCTTTCTGCTGTGGATTGACTAAGACAGCCGATTAATTACTATGGTATTCATCATCATGCTCCTATGATTGGTCATGTGGCACAAATACCACATGCGTCGATTAGCATGAAGGCAAACGCTTCAATAAAGTTTATCCCTCGAGTTTAATTGATGAGTTAATCACTGAGTTCCAGCGAGCACCTACAAATAAAGTGACCACATCCAACAATGAGCTCCGGATCCCATGTGCGTAACCGCTGTGAAACCGAGCGAAGGGTTTGTATTAACCCTGCTGACGTCTGTGAGGGATATACAGTGCATTACTCCTGATGAATAAGGTCATTTTAGAGAAGCCTCCTGCGCTCAAGATGTTTCACATATGGAGTCCATTTAAGCCGTGTTTGTAGATCTGAAGCCTGGCATGGATACACACGAATAACAGCATCAATATGTCATCGCCACGGGAGCTTGAGAGAGAACAACGACTGGACAACTTTCACCGGCGGCCTAAATGAAGCCAAGCACGTGCCACTGGAACTATTGATGTCTAAAAATTATGGTTAGGATCATTTAGGTGAAATCAGAGGATTTTAGAGATTTGTAAAACAAATATTATGTTGTCCATAGGTTTTTTTTTTTTTTTAAAGAAACATACTTTTATTCAGCAAGGATACATTAAATTGATCAAAAATTACATTTATAATGCTACAAAAGATTTCTATTTCAAATAAATGCTGTTCTTTTGTTCTTTCTATTTATCAAATAAACTTAAAAAAAATACATTGTATCATGGTTTCCACAAAAGTATTAAGAAACACTTTTCAACATTGATAATAATATTTTTTTTGAGCACCAAATCAGCATTTTAAAATCTATGTAATATATATATTGTTTTTTAATTTTCTTTAAAATATAATAGAAAATCATTTTAAATTGTAATACTATTTCACAGCATTACTGTTTCTGGTTGTATTTTGAGCAAATTAATAATATAGCCATATGATATGAAATCTCTTTATATAATAATAATGTTATTTATTACAATTTATTGTGTATGGTAAATTACTATAATCTTTTGATTTTCCGTCTTGATGCACATTGTGTTTTCTGTTGCTAGCGTGACACCTGGTTTAAAGAGAGTAAAGTTCAATAGTTCCACTACAACAAATACAGTAGCAGATATAATCTTGACAACACCAGAACATTGTTTCCTATCAAAACAGGATGAATCTCACCTTTCACAACAGTCAAAAATTATCATGACAAACTGTGCTGGGCAACACGTTGAAAAAAAACTGTTCAAAATGAACATTATGGTCCTGTGGCTTGCATAACTTTCATTAAACAAAGACAACAGTATTGTCATTCATTTATACAACTCCATTTCTGCATTATCTTATCTAATTTTTGTCTCATTACAGGAAAAAAATTAAATAGCAGCAACAAAAATCAAACTTCAAACACATAAATCCTACAGGCGTCACACGTCAAC